CCGCAATCACGGGGACATCATCATTGACAACTCAATACAGCATCTACTTCGTAAACGTCTCCTGCGGGCTGCGATCATAAGGACACATCCCCGTCACCCGCGGCCACGGCTAAATCGTGAACGTCTCCCGCGGGCCGCAATCACGGGACATCATCACAGGCACCCGAGGCCGCGGCAAAATCGTGAACATCTCCTCGGTCCACGGAGACATCATTATGGTCACCAGTGATCGCGGCAAACTGGTGGTATAAAATAAATTATTTTTTAAAAATTTTTTTCTAAAAAATGTTTTTCCCAATCCTTTGCGGCCCCCTTTTGCTTTTTGTTGCCCTAATCGGCCTAGTGGTAAATCCGGCACTGCAGAAGTGAGTCGTACTTTCGCTCGCCAAATCCCCTCCAAGTAGGCCAACGAGGTGAATTCGTTGACCGGAGCGTGCGCATCACCTGTCACCGTCGGTATCTGGTGTGGAAGCTAGCGGCGGGGACGCATTCAACTCGACCCTTGCTGACATTGCTGCCTTCTGGGAGGCAGAACTCAAAGGCCGCTAAGTTAGTTGTAATCATGTCAAATATGGACAGTAAATCAACTAAAGTAGGCCTACTATGTTCTTTCCATAATAACCTAACCTAACAAAACCGCCGCAGCGCTGTATAAAGGTATATTCCCCTATGGGTCATTCCATGTTAATGAGACTTTTTAACAAAAAAAGTTAAATTGAAGAAAATAGTATATTCTGCTTATTCAACAACTTGTTATGTTATTCTTATGAAGACTAAGACAAATGTTATCTCCCTTAATAATGAAAATAAATTATTATAACTTGGTAACTTATGTGGCTTTCCATACCCAGTTGAGTTATATTGATTGTTAATTATCAACGATTTTTTATTAATACAAATAACACAATTTAGATTCAACGATGTAACACCCGCAAAATTCAGTGTAACACAGGAAAACTGTAATCATAAACCATTAACTTACTAAGCCTAGAAAATTATAATGGACAATATAGTCAAAGTATACTTGGAGTATTGTTACTCCAAAACATTTTTTTTTTTTTTTTAATAGGCCTTATAGTTTTAGCCTATCCAATTCACAGATAAGTTATCATGGACCCGTAACGCTATTTTAGTTAGCATACTCAGCATAATGTAATATGCAAGACCTAACAGTTTTGAGTGTGATTTAAAATAGGCTCATATATACTTTTATCTTGTACTATTTTACTATTTTAAAGTAATTTATAATGTGTACGTATGTAACACCCGTAACCATGGAATTCCCCCTATGTCAGGATTATTGAGGAGAAGACAAGCACTATGCTTCCTTGGTTTAACAGTTGATACAAATTTAAATTGGAATGCTCATCATATAAGGTTTTAACAAAAATTAACTCTGGAATAAACTTATATGCTCCTAGGAAAATGTCAATATACTGTGGATCAGAGACATTACACTATATTTATTTTTCATATATTTACTCTAACACAAGTTTTAGTTTGTGTCTTATCGGAGCAAGACGGAAATGTCAACAATGCAGTGTAAGCTAAGAAGTTTAATTGAGCCCGTAAAACCCTAGGATTACATTCAGTAGCAAAGTAACAAACACATGCATACAACTAACACCAGACGACTGACACTAGGTGTGATGAAGGTCAGATCAAGCGTAGTGTGGTTGACGGGGTAGTGAAAGGAGGAGGGGTTTTTAGGTTGTTTATTTTATTTTTTATGTGTTTTTACCAGTTGTTGACTGTTTGGTGACTAAAGTGTGTGTGGCGCTCAAATACTGTACCACAGCCATTGCAGCATTGCAGTTTATCAGCAATAACAGAAATGAGTGTTCAAAATCAATCAAAATCAAAATTTTATTGGGCCATTCAACATTTAAGTAATAGGCTAGGTCACACATTATAATCCTCTTGGGTCCTCTTGACGTACAATAGTCAGTCCATAATAATGAAATAAAAACATGCACAAACATCATGCAGAAAACACTAAAATATATATAAAAATAAGTAAAAAAGATTGATAGGTACCAAACACAACATGCAAGAACAGGCTGCTATAATCACTTTATTCAAGTCCAATCATCATTGGTGAGAAATCTGCTTCATTATACTCACTTAGGCTATAGAATGGGTTTTCTAGAAGCCAGTTTTTAATGATTTTAGCAAATTTTTGACTTGGCAGCCGTCTTACCTGAATTGGTACTCTATTATAAAATCTGATACCTGCAACAGGAAAACATTTCAGTACTTTGTCAAGCCTGCATCTAGATACATGCAAATTGCCACAAGTTCTAGTGGAATAGTTGTGCACATTTGAGTTGAGAATATAAACATGGTCATTTGATTTAATCGCTACAAGACACTGAAATATAAATACATTGTATACAGTCAGAATCTGACAAGCCTTAAATAGAGGCCTGCAGTGTGCAAGATGATGAGATCCACACAGCACCCTCAGCGCTCGCTTTTGCAACAGAGGAATTTTATACACCCTTGGTCTTGGTGAGTGACCCCACAGCCTAGTGCCGTATAGTATGTAGGACTGGAAAAAAGGAAAAAAATGCTAGCCTGACAAACTCAGAAGGAGTGTCCAATTTTAGGCATCTTAGAAGGTATATGACCCTGCTAAGCTTCACACACAGATTGTCTATATGATTCACCCAAGTGAGCTGAGGGTCCAGTGTGAAACCCAACAGCTAAAAACAATTTCTTGAGTTTTAGATTCATTAAGAGACAATTTGTTTACTCGAAACCATGCTGAAGCAGTATCAAGCAGGTTACGAACTGAGGACTTAGCTGTTCCCCAGTCTGAATGACTTGAAAAAAGAGTTGTATCATCAGCGTAAAATATAACATTGCCTGATACCTTGTAGTACAGATCGTTTATGGCTACAATGAACAAGAAAGGGCCAAGTATTGACCCTTGAGGTACTCCATGAATTAGGGCCTACATTTAAAGGGAATGAAAAACAACCATTCCAATCTACCACCTGCTTTCTTTGACACAAATACGATTTTAATAGATTCAAGGCAGTACCTCTGATTCCATATCTCTCAAGCTTTTCGGCCAACATTTTATGAGAAACGCAGTCAAATGCGCGTGAAAGATCACACAGAAGAACCGCTGTGGAACACTTCTGCTGAAAGGAACCCAACACGACCTGGAGGAGGGAGTCCACTGCCGAAATAGTGAACCTGCCCCTCCTAAAGCCGTACTGTGCCTGAACTAAGAGACGGCAAGTCTCGAAGTAGTCACACAGCTGCTCCAACATTACTGATTCAAGAACCTTTGCAAAAACAGGTATGAGAGATATGGGCCGGTAACTAGATACATTATTTCTTGGACCCTTTTTGAACACCGGCACGGTTCTAGATATCTTAAGAAACTAAGGGAAAATCCCACTACTCAGACACTCATTTATAAGAAATGTAAGAATTGGTGCAATGATATGACGGACTCTCTTAAGGAAGTCCACAGACATTCCATAGTAGTCTCTGCTTTTGGAGGATTTAAATTGATTTATCAATTTAACAATATCAAAAACATTTACCTTTCTCCATTCAAAGGAAGTAGTAGGAGGAGGAGGGAAGAAATGGTTATTGACACAGGCATCGGTTGAGAGGCTACAATCACTTACAATCTTATCTACAGATTCTAGAAAATACTGATTGAAGTAGCAGAAGGAAACGTTTTGTCAGGTATAGATAACTGAGCCTTATACATATTAATGTGGTTCCATGCTGCTTTGCATGGGTTTGGAGATTCAGCTATAGCCACGGCTACAGCAGACTGCTTTGCCTCCCTCAACTTCGCTCGGTACTCCCTCCGAAGGCGATGTAGCTCATTAGTCAGATGAGGCCTAGTCTTACACAAGTCGCACACAATCAGGATAAAGGATCTCAGATTTGCCAATTCAGGAGTATACCAATCTCCTATCATTTTAACACTATTTCCGTTACTTGGTATAGATCTAAATACCTTAGTTGTGATGGGGAAATATAAATCAAAGAGTGTTCTAAAACCCTTGAAAAAAACATTAAAAAAAGCATTAGTGTTGTGGTAGTAGCATAGAATAGTTATTTGTGTAACTAGTGGTGAAAGTGGCACTTTGCTGCACACGAGAGCAATGTTTACTCGAGGAATGATCTCGAGTGCAGCAAAGGCCTTTTTCACTCGTATTACACATTATATTTTTCCTACAGTCACTATAAAACATAAATAATTAGTCTTTCAAACACTATACAACACGTTTTTAGGTTCAGCTAGCAACACAATTACACAAATGGTGCCCTGGAGAAAGTAGTACCCGTGGTCCGTATCACTCCGCTACTTTTCTTCGGCAAGAAATGTGCTCCGTCTTTTGAGAATATAGTTCCGTATGTTTTTGTAATTTGAAGTGGTTTCCGCGCCTAAAAAAAAATTCTTTAAAGGTATTTTCTTGTTTATTAAGACCGTAGGAATGTTTTAAAAACGTTTAAAAGAAAAGTCCAGAAAGTTTAGAAATACCAAAACTATAAACACAAAATGACAGGTTAAATCGTAGTTATAATAGTCAATCAGCTGTTCATAGTATTATTATCTTTAAGTGTTGCCAACCTATTTCCAAGCGTACACGGATTACGTGCATAATAAAACCACGCTGTTTTGTGTTGTTTGGTTGGAATCCTGATGTGCGGCAAAGTATAAACCGTGCGGCAAAGTATAAACCGTACGGCAAAGTATAAATATGCAGCAATTAGCAGCTTTCTGTACTATAAACAGTACAGGGAAGCCAACTTTGTCGGGTGACTGTAGGAAAAGTAACTTAAGTTAAATGCTGGTTGATCAGGGAACCCCTCTTATCTAGGTAGGCCTACATTTAGGCCTATTACAGCTACAGTTAGTCAACATTCTTCAACCCTTTTACTAACTTAGGCCTTAGGCCTAATTCTAATTTCAGTTTACCTAGCATTCCACCAGCTAAATTGGTCAATGTTTATATTATTTACAGGAGGTGTCATTGGTCTTCAAAACCTGGGTTTGACCTGCTTCCTCAACACTTTGCTTCAAGCAATGGCGTCATGTGCAATATTTGTTGAGTGGCTAGAAAGTTGCCATGGACAAGGCCCTGTGGCATCTGCTCTCTATTATTTGCTTAAAGGTAGACAACTTCAAACTCCTTCAGTCATTTTCATTAAACCTTTCTTGTTTGTTGGCAAAATCCAAGTTTCTTGAAGATATGTATCTAGTCTTCGGTAAGAAAGCTACTAAATAAATACGGTTCTTTGTCGTGTTCAAATTTAATTTATAAATTAAAATAATTTATATTCAAAATTGCGTTATAGCCTAGTATTATTGTCCTTAATAGATTAGGAAAAGATGTAAATACTTGTTTATATGCCTAGTAATCTTTAGAATTGCTTTTATCAACTACAAGTAGATTCAGCGCAGAATTGGTTTCATTTTAAACACAGCTAAAAATTAATTAATATTGCATTTTAAAGTCGGCTTTCATATCTTTATTGAATGTAGGCTATTATAATTGAGTTATTTTGCAGTTCTCAGCACCGAGCCAGCAAAGCTGCCTGAAGGTATAGAGGAGCCCCTTGCTCCTAGTGGTTTCATACAAGCACTGAGAGGCCACGGTTGGTCCATTGGCTTTGGAGAGCAAGACGCTCATGAGCTGTTCCACCTTATTATGGCAACATTGGAGGAGGAGGCTCACAAAACATCAGCTGTTAGTTACACATGTCTTTCATAGTATTTAAGGTCGATTTACACATCAGTCCAGTCACAGTTCCGTTAGAGTAAAAATATTTTAATTAAAACATAATATTCTATCACATTTTCATCATCCATCTTGTTGATTGTTACAAACAGTACTTAAAATATGTAAGCGATCATTTAAATAAAAAGCACTATTTTCTAATCTCAAACACGTCCGTCAGGGGTCCAAACAATACAAAAATATTGTTGAGAAAAAATCTGAAATTGGGCGACTGGACGGAACTGGGTCAGATGAGTGTAGATAGCGCAATACAAAATCCATTAAAGGATCATTTGTTTGATTGAGACGTGACTGATGTGACTTAACTGTGACGTCCGGTAACTGAAATGTGTGAATCGACCTTAAGGCTTACAATAAATTTTTAGAATCACAATAGTTGGCACATAGTTAACATCTTACAATAACTTAGTCCAATACTATTTTCTTATTACCTATAACTTGGTCAGTTTGGCTAGAAAATTGATTGCTCACAAAAATAAATTTTGATTTTCAGGCATGTTTTCATATACTTGTTGAACTTGTTCATATACATGTTAAGTCATTACTGTAGTACTTCTCATGATTTACAGTTGGCGCCTACTTATTTGGGCCACCTTAGAGCAGGATACTATATTCCAGACAGAATGAATTTATCTTAAAATCCTTTCTTACTCTAAAGCTTGTTGAATAAACTATAGTTCCCCAAATATCTAGTTTCTAAGTCAATGCTAATACCGAATTATGTCAGTACCGGTAGCTGTCTGTATTATTTTAAACTAAAAAAATAAGCTCTTGTGCATGATTTAGCTTTTGTATGTTCAATAGGTTACAATATACAGGCGTCAAGCCAACTTGAAGTCAGAAATTGGAATGCAAATATTGATGACCAGATAAAGTTTGTAAATTGTATATATATATGGATGTTGTATAGAACCGATAAATTTTGAATAGCCGCAAATAGCCTACGGTTGAATGTCCATTTATTAGCAGTAGGTCTATTCTGGTTCTCATTTAACATTGTCACATGTAGAAAGTAAATAACGATTGCTGGAATGAATTTTGTGTGGCTATGATTGCATAGAATGATGACAATGGCACCGCATATTATGCACTTATACTTATGCGGATATATGGTACTTTCGCAGAGAACCTACGATATGTTATTGTGTATGAATAACGATAAATATTAAAATATGTCGACATTTATCTGGTTCAATGTTAATATCGCAATGATTTTAATTTTCCCATGATATAATAGACCATTCATCTAAAACATTTTAAAAGGCAAAGTTTGTAAAAAATGGCGTAGTTATGATTTTTTGGTATGTTATTAAGATACATGAGAGTAATGTAAAACAAAGTTTACAGCTTCGAAAGACACTTACTGCTCACTGCTCGGTGGTCGAAAAAACTCAATTTTCTTGTACTTTTTCATTCTTTTGCAAAAATCTCAAAACCATGTAGCCTATTGTACGAAGGAAAGCGTTATATTCTTTTTTATGTAAATCAAATCCCCTAAAATTTGGTATCAGTTTCAGCTCTGTATCTAGACTTTGAGATAGGCTACATTATTTATAAGTTTTGGAACATTTTTTAAAAGTTGCTAGAGTACAGAGTTAATATTTTTTAGCTAAATGTCAGCTTTAATACTCACTCTACGGCATTGGTAATGAAAAATAATATTATGGTGAATTTTTAGAGCCTTATTATGCGTTGCCACTCGAGTGGCTTGCGACCGCGACTGCTCAGTCGCTGTGGTCGGTGGCCACAGGTGTGGCGAGGTTGCGCGTCTGACTGAATGTTATCATAGACTTGTATGTAGTTTCTCCGTGTGAATTGAATGACGTAGTCGTCAAGTAAAGAAGATGAACTATTTCTACTACTTTCACTTACTAAAAGAAAGAAATTATCCGTATTCCACAAGAATGTGAATAATTGTATTTCAGCTAAGGAGAGGCTAGCACTTACCTTAAATTAAATATAATAGTTTTTACATTAATATAACCATAATTATAGTAATATAATAAAATAACCCCGCCGCAGCAAACCTGCAGACTAAGGGAATGTCCATTTTCCTGGCTGGATTTCTAAAATATTCCCTTTGTCAGATTTATTTCCTTTTAAATAACATTAATTTTAATGAGTAGTTAGGTTTGCTGCTACAGGGAAGGTATTGAGGTGTTTTTTTTATTTATTGAAATGTTGATAGCTTAGTATGAAATAAACAAAATGGCCAAATTTGATTAAAATATATCCATAAGTTAGACGCAAACTACAACAGTTTATTTATTCTTCCTAAGAATTAAATGGGAATTTTAAATTTACAATCTTATAACTATCTCCGTAACCGTTAGGGATACAGCAACGCTTCAATGAACATAAATATATATTTTTTTCTCTACAAAATGGTTTGGAAAGAAATTGTGAAATGTTGTGTTTTTAGGGACGAAAATGGGAAAGAATTTTTACCTTATAAACCCCCCTCCCCCCCATAAACCCCCGTTCCCTTAGTCCGATCATGCTGGTTCGCGAACTCGTACGAATAAATGTATGTTTATACGTTTGTACCAAATTTAATTGAAATCGGACCATTTTTGCTCAAGTTATTAAATTAATTTGAACGGAGGGTGTTTTTGACCTCTGTGGACCTCAAAACGAAAAAGTAAATCGGTCCCAGGTCTAGGTCTTACCCTACGTAAATAGCTTATTCCCTATACTTGGGAAATTCGCTAATGAATATAAGAAAACTTTGACACAAAAATCGTGACTGAGGCCTGGTAGGGGGAGTGGGGGGTGCGGTGTGGCCCGCGACTGGCTACGCGTAATAATCAGCATATAAGAACATGGCCCGCTGGAGGTGCGACAGTCGCGTGGGCTCTCAACTAGTAGCAAGGGTGCGCGACTGGAGTAGCCAGTTACGGCGACTGTCACGTGCCCCGCCATCGCAGTCGCGTCGCTTAATAAGCTCCATATGATAACATGGCCCGCTAAAAGTGGCCTTTGAGCAGTTGCAGTCATGCGCCACTCGAGTGGCCGTGCTTAATAAGGCTATTAGCTTTAATGTAGGCTCAAGTGGAAGCATGTAGGCAAAAAGTTTGTCATTTGAAAAGAAATTTAAACTGGCAGATCCAGACGTTTTTATGTAGTCTATAGCTTAAGTTAAAAGTGTTATGCGTTATTATATTTTGGCCAGGATACAAAATCATGTTATAACAAATGAGTGTATATTCAGAACATATAACTATTTTTAATCCTAAAGCTTACAGATATTACATGTACTGTGCACAAAGAAGAAAGTAACTTAAAACAAATCATCATATTTTGGATTTCTTGGGAGGACCGGGACCAAAATTTCATTATTTTGCAGTAAGTAAAAGTCTTCTAATTTAAGTCAGGCACTGAAAAGCTTAAAATGGAATAAAAACGATTAGGTATACAGCCTTCCACTTGTGCCTACATTAAAGCTAAATAAATTTACCGTAATAATATTTTTCATTATTAACGTTGTAGGATGAGTATTAAAGCTGACATTTAGCTAAAAAAATTATTAACTCAATACTTGAGCAATTTTTTTGAGAAATATTCCACTTCAACAAAAGGTTGTAACGCTTTCTTTTGTACAATACATGGTTTTTGAGATTTTTGTAAAAAAATTAAAAAAGTAGGCCTAAAAGAAAATAAAGTACCTACGGTATTTGAAGTACAAGAAACTCGAGTTTTTTCGACCACCAAGCAGCGAGCACAGGTCTTTCGAGGCTGCAAACTTGGTTTACATTGCTCTTATGTACCCAAACAACATACAAAAAAAAATCATAACTACACAATTTTTCTCAAACAAGGATGTCTTAGATGACTGGTCTATAAATTAGGGATGGACGAGATTGGATTTTTAGTTCGAGACGAGACGAGACGAGATTTTTTATTTCTCATAAAATTTCGAGACGAGATTTCTCTTCTCATACACAACGGGAAATGCACGTTCAAAATTTTTACCTGATTTTGTAACATTGTTAGATGACTGTTTAAATACTAAAATAATGATAATAGGCAAGAATATTTACAATCTTTCATTAAATAACATCAGCATAACATTTTTTTATTAATCACGCCTAACTTATTAAAAATGCCTACGATTAGGAAACATGGTGATATCAGTTAGGATAGAGTTCAACTTATCCTAAAATAAAATAAATCATAAAATAAAAGCAATATTAATTTTTATAAAATAGTTACTTGTTTTGACTTTTTTTATAGTAATAAAACATTCCTCACACTGCTTACACTTAACAAAACTTCTCAAATGTTATTAAAGTAATATTATTAAAATAATGAAAGTAATATTTACATTAAAAGAATTAATTAAATAAGAACGCCTTCGAAAAGGAAACGCAACTACAACACGCTCCTGTATTGCGGGTATTGCATTGACTTTCTGCAGGCGTTTTTAATTTTTTTTTTTTTTTTTTTTTTTTTTTTTTTAATTCTTGTCTCGATAAAAATCTCGGCCAAAAAGTAATCTCGTCTCGTGTAACGAGATTGAAAATTTCCCGAAAATTTCCCGAAATTTCGAGACTTGACCATCCCTACTATAAATAAAACAATAACAATAACATTAATTAAGCTTTTTATTCCTTAGATTCCACTTAAATATTTAAGATTAAAAATGTAACAAATGGTTTGTAGGTTTTTAGTTCAGAATATTAAGTAATAGCCTATGATTATCAGTAATTTATCTTTTGGTCATTGTTTTTTTTTTCATATAATAAATTCTGTTTAAATGGTTTTTATGGATAGTTTTATTTATTAAATATCAATAAAAACGTAAACAAACCAATTTTAAAATCAGTGGTTAGGAACAAGTTTCAACACATATTGCTATTCATCCGATAATATATTGTAGGTTCTCTGCGGAAGTCTTCCTATCTCAATGATGACAAAATTGTGAGCAATTAGAGATTTTGCAATTATTTAAAGAGATGCTCACGGTGTTGCTGCAATTATGTGACGATACTTCCCATGATCTACAGAAATGGACATAGTTTCTTGATTTGCTAATAACAATGCAGCTAACTAAAACTAATACCCTGAACCAGGCCCATTTAAAAGTTCCAACCAGTAAAAAGGTGGTTGGTTTAGAGAGTTCTCACGTGCAGTCACAGCAAGATTGTTATTTTTTACACTTTTAGAATGAGGGCAGTCTTACTGATGCTTTAGAACCAAAACGAAGAAACTCAACTGGTGACGTGGAAGAGAGTCATAAATCATCAGGAGACAAAGGTGAACCACAATCTCTCCCCCCAGTCCTCAAGTAAGTGAAATTATATGGTTACCGTACATAAAAATCTGTAAAATGGGCCATTATGAAATCAACAAATACAAATTGTTTTCAACCTGACAGTTTGATGAAATTTTTCATGTTTTGAGTAATATTTTGAGACACGAATACAATATATATCTATATATATTTAAATCTATCTTTGATCTTTTTTGAAATATACATATTTTAAAATGATAAAAATTGGCTTTTTTAGCATACTCACCGAATCTGTAATATTATTTGACTAGTTGATATTGATTTGATTAGTTCTATTTGCTCTTATTCTATCTCATTATAAAGATGATTTAAGTAGGTAGTTGTAATCTGATACCAAACTCAACCTACTTAGGTAAAAATGGATTTCTTTAAATGTCAAAAATAATTAAAACAAAATTATCCATCTACTAGGAATACAGGGTGGCTGGTCATCAGTATTACAAAAAAATGTTGGTGTAAGTACAAAGTAAATGAAGTGTGATGTGATGCATATAAGAGGTTCCAAGTCTAAACATTGGCTTCCCAAAGAATTATGTTAGTAAAAAAAAAACCATAATTTCAGCAAAATATAGCAATTTCTCAAATACCTGCAAACAAATTCAAGTAGATTACGCCATTTTCGTGTTCTACATTAAATTTTGAATAAGAATAATTGAAAATAATGGAGAATCAATAGTAGAAACTCCATTGTAAATAGTTCAAAACAATTTTCGTAACACTGATGACCAGCCACACTTTATTTAAAAAAACAAGTTTTACATTTTTAAATTATTCCTTGGAGTTGGTTTAGTGGGAAAACTTTTTATTTAATCATTGTAGGATCAGCGGTTTCTTTGAAATCAATACTGGACACCTTACAAAATTCACCCTGTGTATATTTTAATAATCTATATATTAATACACAAACAGTTTCCTTTTCACAGTCATAACTCAATAACGGCTTTGATGGATTTTAAAGTTTGAGGTGTCAAATTAAAGGGATTTTCATGTAGATGAACAAATACGTCTCAGAATATTTAGAAAGGGCACCACTTTAGTACACTTAAGGGCTAAAGTTTGGAAGGCGGCGCTATCTGTTGACATTTGATCAAACTCATTTCCCTTTGTTTACAAATAATATATGGATGTCATTTGAAATAGTTTTTAAGGTTAACCACATACTGCAGGACTTAAAACTTCCAGAGCAAAGCCAGAGTGGGATTATTTTCATTTAAACATCTGTTAAATAAGTCTGGTTCATAAAGTAGTTTCCTAGCAAAACTTGATAAGAAATTGTTCGTAATATTTAAATTCATTTAACTTGCTTCTTATTTTACTGAATTATCATGTAGTTTCGGTTACAGTTCGGTGTGATGAATAAGTGAATGTTTGAAAGTGATTATTCACAGTGCAGTTACCCACCCATTTACAATGTAATTTACAATGTATATCAAAATTCCATTGTGGTGTTTTCTGTTGTTTGGTTTACTTCCGTATTTTATTTAAATTTAAAAATAAGCCACCAGTAAGATGAAGAACTGTGATTGGCTGGAGGGAACGCGGACGTGACTGCTCGCATCAACCTACCAATGGAACATTTGAAGGTTACAGAATGGCAGTACCACCGTGGTGATACATCATGGATACATCTCCTCAGACAGATGAACGTTAAGTGTTTACATTGTGGTGGCTTACATTTTAAACAAAGGAAAGAAGACCGAAGCAGTTCAATTTTCACTCATTGTTACCATAAATGAAAGACCCGTTTACTCATCTGCAGAATTCACTATACTTTCAGGAACTTATTGGAAACTCCCAATCTTAAAACAGGGCTGCGAGGCTTAGATCTAGAAATTATTTGGATAAATTCGTCAACTCAATTTCGCCTTTGCCATGGTCAGCTCTAAAGCTCATTTAGATGAGAGGATCACACAGGGGATCTACAATTTAAAGATCCATGACACGTGTTATCTCCGAGTAAATATCTATTTCCTTTAGAAGGTCATCGTGAACCCTCACAGATGTATAGTTGAGTACGACGTTGGCACTGGACAACGCATGAAACATAATTCAAACAAAAAATGCCATGAAAAAATATGCGGGAATAGGGTCACATTGCCAACCTATTTGCCTAATCTTTTAAAATTGTGACAAAAATGTGTAGGGACAAGAGGTCCGAGGAGTCAAGTGAGATTCATGTGCTTATGCTACTTAAATAAATGTCGCAGCTATTTTTAAAGCTGAAAACAGAGCACCACCTGGCCAATTAAATCTTAGGTCTTTTCCAAAAACTAACAATGTTAAACGCGAATCCGTTCTAGATCCGTCGTTAGATCCACTTGCTTACCCTCATATGTTCCCAACCGGAGACTTTTGTTGGCACCCCTAATTTAAACACGCCTAAAAATAGAACATATAGGTAGTACAAATAATTTAACAATGCTGTAGTATGTGCCGTACTGGTTGGTGTCAAGATAGGGATTAAGCTTGCTACAAAAAGTCTGAAAAACTCACTTTACAGTGTTTGGTTGACATCGACGTTCTCATAGAGCGTCGCCCGCCTACAGTACAAGAGAAAGCCAAAGCATTACGAGAGCGGATCTATATTTAAATATTGTATTCTACTTTTATAATTTTGTTACATTATATTTTTCATATTTCTATAATCAGCCAGAAATTACATTAAAGTGACTCTTTGATTAAGTCTTGCTGTTTATTTTTTTATTGTTTATTGTTTATTCTTTCATTACAGCTTGCAGTTTGGCTCGGTTTCGAGCAACAGGTCATCTAGTGTTACATTATTACTTGAACAAAACCATGCTGAATGAACACTATCTTATAGGCTTAAAATAGGTTTTTATCTTATAGGCTTGTCAACAAACAAGGAGAGCCTATAACAAGGAAAATCCTACCCAAGTACGACAGCAACAAAAACTGTCAGGCCTCTCCCTTCTGTGGTCTGTTGACTAGTCAGCTGCAGTGTGTGGATTGTGGATTCAAGGTAATACAGTACTAACTGTCAAATGAATGTTTTATTTAGTCAGTGACAGTGATAAGAGAGTGCTGGCCAGCCTTTACAGTTTTAACCAGTTTTATCACTTTTTATTCCATTTTAATAATTTGATCAACATGACTAGTTTTTACTATTGTGATTCTGACAGTGTTTTAAAGAATCTTTTGACATACCACAATGTATTATTACATTGAAGATGTGGTTGCATACAATGACCTGACAATGTTCTAAGGAACGAAACTAGTTGTCATACTACCAACTGTGGTTGGATAAGGTAATTCTTCCATTTTATCAATTATATATTCCAACCAAGGGTCACAATGAATAACAAAATTAAATATACAGCTGTGAGGCCATTTGCACACACATAATTTTGGACTGCCAATTTTTTATATACCGTCCCAACTCCAATAGTGAATCAAAGGATTGAACTGAATCTGGCTCGAATTCCACTGATTGTCAGTATAATGCCTGCTAGAAGCCGGCCACTGCCACTGTATGAACTGGAACTAGGGTAATAATGGCAACATAGTGACCCCAACTACTCAACAACTTCTTATGTATGATTTATGTATTTTACTAAATTCAGCTTTCAGGCACATTGACTGTTTACCGACCGTTTTTCTTTTTAAAATCCAAACCTTATTCATTTGACTGGTAAAAATCAGGACTGTTGCAAGCATCTGTTGTCGATAAAATATCAGCTGATGTTTTACCAACCATCTAAAAACAGTGTGTGAGCAAAAGCTAACAAAGCTACATGATTCAAAATTAATGTTGCAAGTAATTGATCACAATCACTAATAGTTAGGGCTAATCGTTTGAACATTAAAATAGTAATCTTAACATAGGTGAAAATCATATGTATAGTAGACTAGCACTGCACTACTCCGGCACTCCAGTAATCCAGGTTCTTTTGATGGGTGTGGTGGGGAGGAATTTAAGTTGAGACACGTATTGTGTAACAGTTTATTTCACATTGTCTATTGTGTCTCTAGGTACCGGGTTGCGGTTGGGGAGTTTCGGCTCCTTCAGCAATAATAATAATGTAATGTAATGTAGTGTAATGTCTATTGTGACTGTATTTAGAAGCTTCGGGCAAAATTCTGATCATTTCCTGCCGCCATGTAGACATCACCATCAACTCCCGCGGTCACAGAAAAGTCATCGTGGTCTTGCGCAATCGGGGCAAAATTATAATCATCTCCCACGGTCATGTAGTCATTATCGACATCCTCCGCTGTTGTGGCAAAATTCTGGTTATCTGTAACTGTGTAGACATCTTGATAGACTCCCGCCGTCACGGAAACTTCGTCGTCGTCATGCGCGATTGTGGCAATAGCGGTTATTTTCCAATGGCGCGATCTTGGTATCGACAACGTAACGAAAATCAATACAATCGATTTTCGATACCGATACCAGTGTCCAAGTATCGGTGGTGTCGAGAATTGATACATCCCTACAGTTGAGTAATTTTTAGTACATATACTGAAATTGAACACTGTTTTACTATAGTGTGTATTTCAGTCAGTCGTCCGTTATGACAAGTTTGATAGCCTGTCTCTGCATCTACCAGAGATGGGCAGTGGTTTTTTACAACCAATCACACTAGCACATCTGTTAGACCGGTTTACCCAGACTGAGTCTGTCAATGGTGTTGTGTGTGAAGGATGCAACAACAATCGAGCTCCTGACCAGCCTCCCATCACTACTACTTCTCTCAAGACACTGTCCATTGGCAAGGTAACCATAACCACCTAAAAACTTGTGTATGTTTAGCCTAATACTAGGGTTCTGCAGTGTACCAAAAAAATCTGTACAATAAGGTTCTGGCCTAATTACTGCAATCGTAGGTACAGCACTTGGTACAAATTCAGTAGGTACAGCCTATAAAATTAAATGACTTTCATTTTACTGGTTGTTGGTTCGGAGCACATAAAAAGTTTATCAGATGTTTGTTTACGACATTCATAATTTACATTTATTACTAGGGCAATGATGCAACAAAAACCCCATTAGCAGTCCCAAATCCATAAATATTTTATCAGGACAATAATTGTTGTACTCAAGGTCAAGTCAAGTACTACCAAGAACTCTAATTATTTACCAACAAAATTTACTGTACCAAAATGCCCTTGACTCCTTTAGTTCGGTTAGTCGGCGTTTTACTGCACTCACTTCCAAGTAGGCCCTTCCGGAGGGGCGGAATATCTAGTCATAAACATTTTTGTCTGCTATCAACTACATCACTCTTTAAGGTGAGTTACTTGGGTCCCCATTCCTTCTCACTCAGTTCAACAATGTAAAAATTAATATTTGTAATTATTTGTGTATGAAACTTGAAACTGACTATATTTCAGAACCCAATTAGTTTTGTTATGACATCGTACAAGTTAACGTTTTTCTGCACTCAGTTGCCAAGGTGCTTATGCATCCACATTCACCGCATCTCCATGGACAAGCATGGTTCTCCCTATAAACGACCTGACTATGTAGACTTTCCTGAGTATCTCTGCATGGATCCGTACACTCAGAATTCAATAATTAAAGAACAGAAGGTAAGATTATTTGCTTTATTAGGAAATTTAAAATTATGTTTTTATGTCTCAATACTGCAATAGTGAAAATATGCACAAAGAGAAGACCTGTGCACAAATTAATATTATTTTGTACATCTTAATACTGTTCAAAACTTATTTCCTTGGCAAAACAAATAATGCAATGCTCTTTAATCTTTCAAAGATTTTGTTTGGTTTAAATTAAACTTTAATTGCAAAAATTGTTTAAGTAGAACGGAGAAAAAGTATGTTGCCGAGAAAACCCTGTATTTTATCGAAGCATACATATTGGTACCATAAGAATTGCTTTTACTTCCTTTAGTTCCTATTCAACTTTTCATTTGTATATACGACTGTACTGTACAGACAATGAATGCTTATTTAATCTTTTCAACAATCTGTGTCATCTCAATAGTATTTTATGTACACCTTGGGGAAGCATTTTAGAATGAAGTTTAAATATATAGCACAGTCTGTAATGAACAGATTTAGAATAGGTCTATCCATGTATTACAGTATCAACACAGGCCACAACCCAAATTATTTGGAATATAATGAAAATTAGCACATAGGTAGGCTACAGTATAAGTTCCAAAAACTAGTTTCCAAAAACTACAGTTTCTTATTTGTTGAATTCTTGTATACAAAATCTTAGAACATGTAAAAAATCATCTTTTGCTCTTTAATCCCCTTAGAGTTGTGAAATAATTGACTTTTAGATACCTACTGAAGTAGACATCCCAACTGTAAGGACAAGTAGCCAATTTTGTAAAAAAAAAGTTCAATAATTTACAAGTGGTTAAAATCCTTGTATTTTTGTTGATGTGATATGGTATAGTTTATAACAAGTTGCTCTTTTAGTTTGGCTAGGTTTTAAAAGTTGGCGTAACCAAAATAAATCAGTAATTCACACCAGCATGCTTTATTGTGGCTCAATCAAACTATGTGCATTTAGATCAGTGTAATCATACAGCTACACATAAAACGGTAGGCTATGTCGTAAATAACTCAAGTATGAATTTATAAACTGATTTTATGTTTTAAGAGAAACTTACCTTTAGGTTCATATTAAAATTTTCTGAATTATATTTTTATTAGCATTATTGAAGCCCCACAACTTGTTTGTAGTTGAAAGAGGATGTCAAACCAGATGGGGATGAAACTGCTGAATGTTCCACGCCCAAATCTTTACCTTGTAGGATGGGGTAAGTGGATTATTGCAATAATCATATATTGTTTCCAAAGTCCTTTTTTTTGTTGCTACGCTACAACTTCCTTTATAATAACTATTCATCAGAACCTGTGCACTTACAGGGTAAGTGTAACGTGTATATTGGGCTTTTCTTATAAGTATTATAAACGCCTAGAATTCTGTACTTTTTAGCTGGGAAAACCAGGAAAAATCCTTTAATTTTGTTTATATATTCTGCTGACAACCCTAGAGAAGGTGCTGGTGAAAACCGTGTGAAAGGAGAAAATCAGTTGGATCCTTGGTGAGGCATTGGAGAGGAAAATGCCAGTAACTTAAATCTTGCTGGTTTGATGGAAAACCAGGTTCTATCATGCAGACCATTCAAGTGTAGGGGTGTGCGAAGCAGCAAAAAATTTTCGATTTGAAGCAACGATTTGATTCAACAGATTTTTGATTTGAATCAATGCAACTTGATTCAAAGCAATACTTAATTTTTCTATCCATACTTGTCAATGGAGTGAAATAAAAAATTTACCACATTTTTGTGTAATGCAGTTTTTTGTTTATGTGGTATTAGGCCTATCCATACACATGACATTATATGTATGGTGAAAAATATTTATTTTCAATCAAATTTTAGAAGAAGCTGTATTACTCAAAATGTCAGTGAGTTGCTTTACTTGCCTTAATGCCTTAATAAAAGGAAAGGCAGCAGCAACACGCTCCTGTATTGCGGGTGTTGCATTGATTTTTTGCAGGCGTTTTTCGTATAGGGATACTGATTCCCACATGAATCGAATCAAATTGGAATTTCGATGCATCGCACACCCCTATTCAAGTGCAATTCAGCTTGAGGAAGAAGACAACATTATCATGAATATTCATTAGGCCTAATATTGGTACCCCTATTAAACCACAATCTGTCTGCACGTCTCTTGAGCATCATGTGCAGCTACATCGCCGCCAAAAGCTAGTTCCCTGTGGCAAGGGGAGCAGCAAAGTTCTCCTACTCAACCAACAGCACCGAGCCTGTCAAGATAGTTGCGCAATGCAGTCCACCCACACTTTGGAGATCCAAGAGGACTGTTAGCAAGCCTGAGAGGCTTTAAATTTAAAAGTTATTGAAGATAGTCACAAGAATATTTTTAGTTCAATTTTATTTAAAAAAAGCTGTTGGTTTTAAACTACAAAAAATTAATTTAGAAGTTTTGAGGTATTATTACCAAACGGCATACCTAAGTCAAGAATTTTGTTAAGTTAGTTGCACACACATTTGGTTAGGATGAGTGTCATTTGAGAACAAGCTTGCTAGAATATACGTTAATTAGATGTGTAATGCCTGCACTGCCAACATGTGACGCCAGCGCCTTTTGCTCAACCCTCGCTCTCAGTCTGCTATGATCAGTTCGATCAGCTGTATATTAAGTATAAGCATGCTTAGTATAGTCACAAACATGTCACACTGTGTATAGTGGGTTTGGTAATATAAAGAGATGGGGGATGAAGTAGATCGAGATATGGGGACTTTTCTTTACGAACAGGCTGATCAATATGAAAATATATTTATCGCCACTGCCCAGCCCATACAGTTCACTTAGCACTGGCAATATTGCACAGTACTTCGTTAAATTTAATTTTTCACAACTTTTTTTATTCACTTGACTATAGTGATTCATAGATTTGGACAAGATCGGTGCCTGAAAGCCACTAATTACAATTTTTTTTGAAGAATGTTTGAAATAACGAGTTGAAAAATAGAGATTGAGATGGTTCGGCCACTTAAGAAGAATGGTTAATAATAGAATCCCCAATAAAGAGTGAAGAGTGACCATGAGGAAGACGTAGAAGTGGATTTATAATGTGAGATGAGATGTGGAAGCAAGAGGAGTGCAGTGGCATTTTGTGGAGGAAGAGGAATTGTGGAAGGACAGAAGAAGATGGATAGGCCTAGTGAACACCCAGACCCGGAGATAGCCGGAACGAGAGAGGATACGTATGTATGTTGATTAAAGTTAAGTAATGATACTGTAGAAAACTAGATTTTCTTTTAAGCACCTATATTTTCTGGTGTTGTAGATCGTACAACCACATATACAGGGTGAAGGCTGTTGTGGTTCATCGAGGTTCTGTGCACAACGGACACTTTGTGACGTATCGCCGAGGGCCTCTACAGTCCAGCACTCGACACAGGTCTGACAGGTACTAGCTGCCTCGCGCATGGTTCATCATTCATATTCATTCATATGTCATTATTAGTGATGATTGGTTTCCTAAGTTTCCTTGTCATTTATCAATTGTGGAAAGTTTAGAGATTATCTATCTAACCATTCCAACCTATAGATTTAATAGGCCAACATGAATTTTTTAATTATGGTTTTGAAGCCGTCACACAACCGATAACCATGTCCAATTTGTCGTTGGATAGGCCGTAACATGTAGATTTGCCAACAAATGAGAAATGTTTGAAACTCCATCAGGGCTTTGCCCCAGTGGCCTTCTTAGTAGTCTTGTTATCTTTATGAAGAAAATGTTTCTTTACGTTTACATTGAAGGGATGAATTATTCTTTGAAATCCCCACTAATATTTGAAACAGCTGATTATATCAAAATTGTAGTTTATGGAAACGTCTGTTATAAATATTAAATAAATTAGTTAAAATATAAATATTTACTACCATTTTAGCAAATTTCCCATGTAGAGAATGCTAATAGCTTTATTACCATAGGTCTCATAGTAATAACTGGACCCGGAACCGATTTACTTTTTTATTTTGATGTCCCCAGACGCCATAAAGCACCATCCATTCAAATTCATAATACGAGGGCTATCCAGAAAGTAGCAGACATTTTGAAATAAACCATATACATTCCAACCTCGGTATAACGAATCTGAAGGGATCGAACTGAATATTAGTTATATCAAGGATTTTGTTAAAAAGAGGTTTGTTGTATTGATGTTAGGTTTGCAGGAATTTCGCTAAGTCGAGTTTCAGAACCTGTGTCAATATGAATACCGGACAATTGCGGACACGGACAATTGGGGCACGTCTTAAAAGCGGACAATTGCGGACACTAGGGATTAATGCTACCTGACAAGTGTTTGACAGGTCAAATATTTCACTGCCGGACAACTGCGGACACATGTTCTGGAAAGAGTCTGATTTCCACCTAAAGAACAGATACATACATGATATATGATTTTAAGACTAATTTCCATCACACTTTACACACTAACCTAACCTAACCTAACCCAAGGTCCAGGTTCCATACCAGTACACATATTGATCAGTGGTTCGGTGGCTTAACTCAAACAAAATGAAGGTAAATTTTTATTTTGCTACACAACTCTTTTAAAAATATAACATTGGCTTTATTGTATGCTAAGTTACTATGTTGGTTGAACAAACAAAATAACAAGTTGGAAAAAGTAGACAAAGGACTTGTTGAGCGGAGTGAGCGAGTTTAGCGGAGTGAACACTCACTGCTTTTGTACAAATACTCCTCTTGAATGGCTGAATTGATCAGCACGAAATTTAGCACAGCCGTAGTAACCAACTATAGGAAGGTATAAATCTAAAATGGCACAATTCAGACAACAGGGCTTTACCCTATTCCACCTGTTGTAGTTTGCTTGTTTATGAACATATTTGGATCAAATTTAGAAAATGCATTTATTTCATACCACTACATAGGCTATTACTAAAATTTTACAAAAACATTTTCTTGCCCTCCCTGTTGCAGCAAATCTAACTACTCCGTCAACTAATGCTATTTAATTAGGGAGTAATTCCAATCAGGCAAATGAAAATTTGCTTAGTCTGTAGGTTTGCTGCAGCGGTGGTATTTTTATGTTTACAGCTGTTTTCAGTTTAAATGGTTCAAATGTTAATTAATTAACAAAAATCCTATACTCTAAAATAAGGACGTGTACGGGCAAACCTTTTGTTTCGTCTGAGGATTTTTGATTTTTTTTTGTTTGATTGATTTGATTTTTGCCCCCATTTGGTCATGAGAAATCAGTTGGTGTTGGACATAAGGTTGGAAAAACTAAGTTTCTGTCCAACAGCCCTTGAAAGTGCCCATGCTATCGTCAATAACCTTTTTGTCATACCCCCAACAAATCCTTCTCAAACCCGCAATGTAGTATGGAAAGAAGTTATAAAATATCATCAAATGTTTCTCAATCCTGTTATACGACAACCCGATTTATTTGGAAGATGAAATGTAAATGTAAAACAAAAATTATGTGAATTGCAATGTATTTATAAAGGTGCAGTGCATTTAAAAAGGGACGTTTTATTTGAATCATCTACAATTTTTTCCCATTTATTACAAAATAAATATTTTTAACTTAGCTAATTAATTTATCTAATAAATGCATTTCATTCCATCCAAGCAAAGCTCAGTCTCCCAGTGCTCTGATAGGAAACAAAATACCGTTTTTACTTAAATTGTACAAAGCTAAGCTTACCTTATAATTTCTTCAACTGATCCATAAGAATGATATATCTATTCGGAGAATTTTTTAGGGAGTGTGAAGTTTTAATTCAACTTCAAGAAAGATTTAGCTTAGTAGGCCTACCAATTCAACAAATAACAGTCCTTCCTATAAATAATCATATTTTTTTCATGATCCTTCCTAAAGAAATATCATTGTAATTAATTTGTCACAAAGGGTTTATAATTGCTTTTGATAACATTTTAAATTTGATGTTTAAATTTGACCTATAGTTTGAGCAAACACTACTTTGGAGTACACTAATAATTAGGCCTACTCTCGAAGAGAGCATGAATCTCCAGATGTCCTATTTTACATCCTATATCATGGTCTGATTGTAGATGTCCTAACTAAAAAAAAGTATTAAAATATAACTATTGGAAGAATATAAATTGTAATTTTAGGAAAAGATTATTTTTGGAACTGACAAATTTATTTGTGGATCAGTACTGCAGGGAACTTTGAATGTTGCTGTAAAAAGAAAAAAAAAACCACATATTTGGTAGATCAAAATTAAAACTCAGCACTTGACTTAAATTTTTGAAAAAAAAAAATTACAGAAGCAGAAAAATTACAGAGATTTGAACATAAATAATTATAACAATATTCAAAGTAAATTAATTATGTTTGGCAGTTATAATTAGCATAAAACTATTACCGTATGCTTAACCCCTATGAAAGAGCACACAGAACCTAAATTTCTTTGGAGGTAAAAGTGCAAAAGCGAAACATCGGTGTCACAAATATACTGCTGTGAAATGAAGACCTTGGGTTACAAGATGAAAAGTAAAAGAAATCCATTAAAAAAAATAATAAGATTTTAAAAGACCAAATTTTTTTATATGCTGTCATCAGTGAGCGTAAAAAACCGGGATCAATGACTAGAGGGGAGAAATAGCTATTTACCTTACAAGTGTAGTAAGAGCGTTTTTACATCACGCAGGTGAAGGTTGTGCAACGAGCGGAAGCGAGTTGCATAATTTACCTAAGTGATGTAAACACGCTCTTGCGTAACGTGTAACGTACAAGATTTTACCTGACCCGACAATATACAGGAGGTTACGAACAATATTAATCATTATCCATTTCACTCATCTTCTAACAGTAACGTTAATTTACAAACAAAAGCTAGGTTAGGAAAATTCTTCAAAACATAACAATAAAATTCAAGAGCACAGCTGATTTCTAGCGTTGAATGTCGTTGGCTCCATAGAGGTTTATTTTTTAAGTTAAGCACTCAATGTTATTTAAATGGGTTTCATTACATCACCGAGTGAGTTTTTGATACTTTACATCACTCGAGAAGTAAGGAAGTTGTATACATCACGCTTGGGATAGGGAAGTTTAACATGGCGGGTTAGGTAAAATTGCTTTACGTAGCACTTTAACCTAAGTAAGGTCATAAATGTTTATCCCACTTTTGTTTAGTTGCATACTTTTACATTAAAAAGTTGTTTGTTATTATTTTACTATCCAAGCGATCACATTTTTATGGTTTGTAATAAATATATTTATCCAAAATGATTAAATGTGTCTGTTTATGATATTGTTTTATTGATTTACCCCAGTTTACCACAACTGAGCACAGGTACAGTTAGGGATGGATGGATCTTGAACTTCTGGGAAACTTGAACAGAAAATATATTTTCAATTCTACATTTAATTTGGGATTAAATTTGGCTTGGGACTGGGTTTGTTGGCGTCGTGAGTGATGGTTATGACGTCTCCGCAATCGTGGGAGATGTCCATGATGGTTTCGCGAACTCAGGAGACGATAAGGGTGTCCATGACTGGGGTAGACTGGTAGACATTCATGATTTTGCCTCAATGGTGGGAGATGTTCTCGATTTTTCAACTATTGCGGGCAAAAATGATAATTACCTCCATGATTTTGGTAGATTTTGAGTTCACCATTATGATGCATCCCCATTCACAGGTTTATAGCCATGATGCATTGTGATAGGTACATATTACAAAATTGATTACTAATCCTAATACTGATTTTCTACTGATAACCACATACCTTTGCTAGGACTAACCTACACAGAAATATAAATACCCACCACGCTCAAATCCATACTCAATTCCACCTTCCTCAAGCAGTACAATACGCATGGGCTTGCTAATAATCAACTTGTTTTTATAGAACAGTAAAACTTTGGACTGGGATTACACTTTAGCATTACTGGAATAATCATGTATGTTGTGTAAACTTTCCTCGCAACCCTCGTGAAAGCGCTAAATTAAACTTTACTTTTCTATGTGAATTTATGCTTTTTATAGATTGGTATTTTAACATAATGATTTAGATTTCTACTTATTCTTAAAATTAATATAGCCTATAGGTAGTAGCATTGACTATACACAGGATCTGTGTATAGTCAATAATAGTAGTAAAAAACCTAGAGCAAAGTAAAAATTCTAAAAACCTTTTGTAGGTTTTAGTGCTTTTAGGATGGTTTGTGTTGCTGATACACCCATTTGAAATACATGGCTTATGGGGGCTCCGTATGCACGGTGAATGAGGAATGGAGTATATGCGTAGTTTATTAATGTTAAGTAGGTAGCTGATATTCAATTTTTAGAGACACTTTCAAGGGGGAAAATGATGATTTAAGGAAGTAAACATTGGATGATTAGATTGTATGATACTAATGCTAGTTATAACTTGCAGGTGGTACTTAACATCAGATGAATCAGTGACTTCAGCTACATTAGCAGGAGCTATGGAGGCAAATGCATACATGCTCTTCTATGAAAAATGTTCAATGACTCCTACTTAAGTAAGCTAACATTTTTATAACTCTCTCCATAATATTTCTTTAACATATTTCAGTTCAATTTTGTTCAATATAATAAATTAGTAGCCTCAGATTAAGACGCAAGTTTAGAAATGTTAAATGTGTTTGCGGTTTATCGTACATTATTTGTCCAACTAGTGGAAATGAATAAATGATTTATAAATAGTTCTTTTTCTTACCACTGCATACAAAATGATGATCACATTGCCACACCTGTAAACAGTACGCAAAATAGCTCAATTCCACTTTGTTCATTCTCGCTTGCTAAATCTGCTTATTTTACTATTGGCCTTTCTATAAAACCCTAAAATCCGATAAGCAAATAAAAACATAACCTAAATGGCATTTTATATACAACTAAAAAGTTAATCAGTGTGTTATGATGAGTTAAACATGGGGATAGGAAAATTTTTGGTGAATTATGAGCACAACACAAACCGTCATTGCCATATTCAAAATGTATGGCCACACTCAGCTAAAGCTTCGTGGGGCCATCTTCAGTATGAGCGACAATGACTATTTTTCTCTCTTAATACACAAATAGCTATTTCTAATGGAAAACTAAATAATACCCGAGTGAAAATTTAAAAACGTACGTTTTCAGGAAAAGCACTTTGCAAATTCTTTTCCCCTTTTTTCAAAACTTTTATTATTTTTTTTATTTCATTTACATTTGAAGTTTCATAAAAAGTCCATGGTAACGCAATATCTTTGGTAGTTTCTTTTTAAAAGAGCATCTTTAGTTGAAAAAACACAAAATCCTGTCACGACCATAACGGATGTTTAAATGAATATTAAAAATAGTTAATATTATTTTTATAACTATGTTTTGCTATAAACTAATTTACTTTTATGACCATTATACAATAAAAAGGTCACTGAGCTTTTGGTATATTTGGTCTTTCTAGAAAAAAATAAAAAAACTCAAAAAATTTAAAAAAAGCCAATAAAATCTTTTTAAGTTTGTATAACTCCGAAGAACTTACCTGAGACCCGAAAAATCGTTATGTTTGTATAGAGGTGTGCTTCTTTTGTGTATAAAACATTGAAATATGACGATATTTTAATTTTTGAAATTTTTATGATAGAAATCATAAACGTGATGGTCAGGGACAAGAAGTACGGTCGTGAATTGTCTGGAATAATCTAAATCTTTCTAAACAATCCTTCAATTATCCTGTTAGTTATAATAAAAATATGTGTTTCAATTGAACTAAACTGTTCAATTTACAATTATATTAAAGTTATTGTCACGACCAAACACACTATAATCCATAATGCTGGATTGGTCGTGAAAAAACCCGCGATGGTCGTGAAACTTTGGTCGTGAAAATACGTGTTATTTGGCTCTGTTCTGGCGGTAGCCCTGCACCTCATGTTCGAGGATACAAAGTGGACTTCTACGTTAATCTAGCAACTGAAATATCTTATAAACAAAAATTAACACCATGTCTACTTCATCGAATGACTACGTACGGTCATGGACACACCAAAATTACAAAAAACACAATCTTTCCTTTATTAATCTTGTAATTCCTCCTTTCAACTCGAAACGACCGGCACTACAATCCTGACGTACATCCCGAACTAGTCTCTAAAACCAACTGACTCCATCGACGCCAGGCTTGCCACTGTCGTGCTCCAAAGTTGAAAATTTTTCCCAAATGGTCGTGACGCCAAATCGAGGGACAGACTTATTTTGTCATGGTAGTCAGTTTGTAATGACAATAAAATTATAATATGCTCCTTTTTTGTAAGTTTAATAACCATTGATGACATAAAAATATGGCTTTATATATTTCGGCATGAATAATTAGTCTAAATACAGTGTGAAAGTTGGAAAATGTACCCTAGGGACACGTCATGGTCGTGAATTTCGAGACTTTAAAAATACGAAAAAAATACCTAGAACCTATTTAAAACCAAATAAATGTATGTAACATGTTGCCCCCGTCCCAAAAAATATTAAAACACATAATAATAAACTAAAAATCCAGTATCTACGAAGTAAAAGGCCAGGGACATGAAAACGTACGTTTTTAAATTTTCACTCACCCCCACCGCAGAAAACCTGCATACAAAGTGAATTTCCATTACCTGGATTATCTCTTTAATACTTCCTTAAGATTGGAAGAATTATTTCCTATATTAGTTTTAATACGTATTTAGGTTTTCTGCTACAAAGAAGGTTTTTTTTTAGCAAATTTCCCATGTAGGCAAATAAGCTCACTGTAGATCTCATGGTAGGACCTAAACCCAGGGCCAAATTTACTTTTTACTTTCTCGTCCTATACCATAGTATATGGAGAAAGTATTGTTTTTGTCAAAACTAAATTTTTGAGTTTGAGTTTTGAGTGGATATATTCGTTTTGCGTCCCCCTGGACCCATAAAAGTGGTTTTCGAAGTGATGTCTGTGTGTCTGGATGTGTACAGAGCTAGGGACTACACTTGTGGTCCGATTTCGATGAAATTTGGTATGTAGGTTTTGATAAAATTTTGTATGTTATAGTCTTTTATATTCTGAACAAAATGGTACAAATCCCATTTCTTTAAAAAATACGGGTTAAAAGTTATTGTAAATTATGTTATTTTCTCATAAAAACCCCATAAAATAACGGAAAATTGGATTTTTCCAAAAATGGCCAGAACAATTTTGATAAAAATATTTAGTATGTTATAGTCCTTTAAATTCTGAACAAAATTGTACAAATCCCATTTCTGTATATTTACTCTCACCGCTTACACATGATAAAGGTCGTTGACAAACTTATGGGAGAAAGTATGTGTCAGAATGCTGATAACGTTTATTTGTTTTGATGTGTAAAATTTAGTTGCCAAAAACACCATCTCTCAAATTCATAATATATATATACAGGGTGATTGATATAAGTGTGCCAGCCGTTTTATTAAAAAACTATAAGAGATATCAAAAAAGGTTAAATGGTAAGTGTCTTTGATTTTTTATTTAAAAAATTGTAGTCAAGTCAAAAAAATTATTTTAGCCGCCATTTTTCCAATATGGCCGCCAACTTTGATTTTCCTTATGGCACACCCTGTATTTTATGATGTCTTCTGGTAGAAAATGTAATTTTAAGACGATTTTATTCTTGTAATTTTTTTCATAAATCTAACCGTTTCAAAGATAATAATGGTTAAAGTTTTGAAATTTCTGCATGAGAAAGAGTTTCGATTAAGGACTAAGCAAGCATGCCAGCTGTTTTATTCGAAAACCATTCAAAATTTCACAACTTAAACCATTATTATCTTTGAAACGGTTAGGTTTATGAAAAAAATTACAAGAATAAAATTGTCTTAAAATTACATTTTCTACCAGAATATATCATGAAATACAGGGTGTTCTATAAGAAAAATCAAAGTTGGCGGCCATATTGGAAAAATGGCGGCTAAAATAATTTTTTTGACTTGACTATAATTTTTTAAATAAAAAATCCAAGGCACTTACGATTTAACTTTTTTTGATATCTCTTATGGTTTTCGAATAAAACGGCTGGCACACTTATATCAATCACCCTGTATACAGGGTGTCCCGTAACTCTCTGGACACTTGTATATAGCGTTATTCCTTAGGTCAAGACAAACACATTTCACCATAGGAACATGGGTCTGTGGTGTCTAGTTTACCGACTGTCGGTATTTATGTGTTTTTTACAAAAAAACAATTAACTCCTAAACGGTTTGAGATACAGCTTTGATATTTTGCAAAAATGTTAATCTTTTTAAGACCTATTATCGTTAGAAATTATACTAAAAAATTATTAACCGTTTCAAAATGGCGGCCATTTAAAATATTTGAAGCCAAATTTCACAAAAACCGTTAACTTTACAAAAAAATTGCAAGAGACAAAAAAGTTTGTAAATTTTATGTAGTTTTCAATGATACCTGATTTGTTAAGATTGGATAAATAATAACAGAGAAATGTCTTCTTTTCTAAACGCATGACCACTTTTCTCCATTTAAACAATGCTAAACAACGTAAAAGGAGTATTAGCATTGTTTAAATGGAGAAAAGTAATCATACATTTAGAAAACAACACGTTTCTCTGTTATTATTTATCCAATCTTAACAAATCAGGTATCATTGAAAACTACATAAAATTTACAAACTTTTTTGTCTCTTGCAATTCTTTTGTAAAGTTAACGGTTTTTGTGAAATTTGGCATCAAATATTTTAAATGGCCGCCATTTTGAAACGGTTAATGATTTTTTAGTATAATTTCTAACGATAATAGGTCTTAATAAGATTAACATTTTTGCAAAATATCAAAGCTGTATCTCAAACCGTTTAGGAGTTAATCGTTTTTTTGTAAAAAACACATAAATACCGACAGTCGGTAAACTAGACACCACAGACCCATGTTCCTATGGTGAAATGTGTTTGTCTTGACCTAAGGAATAACGCTATATACAAGTGTCCAGAGAGTTACGGGACACCCTGTATATACAGGGTGTCCCGGAACTCTCTACCAATATTTTAGAGCGTTGATCGTGGGTAAGAAACGTACCTAAATATCATATTTAAATTGTCCGGAAGTCCTTAGTTACTCACACAGCCGCCATTTTGTTTTTTTCTGTTATTAATTTTTTTCTAAAGAATGGTTAAACATACGAAATGGAAACTTTGCACAAACATTTATGACAACTAGACAACGCTACAAAAAAATTACGAAGATTTTTCAAATTCATAAAACAAAATGGCGGCCATATAAAATTTTCTTTCTTAAATAACTCAAAAACCATTGATTTTACAAAAATTTTAAATGACCGCCATTTTGTTTTATGAATTTGAAAAATCGTGATAATTTTTTGGTAGCTTTGTCTAGTTGTCATAAATGTTTGTGCAAAGTTTCCATTTCGTATGTTTAACCATTCTCTAGAAAAAAATTAATAACTGATAAAACAAAATGGCGGCTGTGTGAGTAACTAAGCACTTCCGGACAATTTAAATATGATATTTAGTTA